ATAAATAAATAAATAAATAAATAATCACCGTGGGGAGGGGGCGATGATAACTTCCTCAATGGCTCAAGGGGGCATTTCTTTCAAAAAGGTTAAGAACCACTGGTCTACAGTGTACCTTCTTGTGCTCACTACCATTCGCACTTACTTTAAAACAGCACTGACAATGAATTTTTCAAAGTCCTGTCCCTTCTTGTGCTCACTACCATTCACACTTACTTTAAAACAGCCCTGACAATGAATTTTTCAAAGTCCTGTGGAATGCTTAGGCCACAAAGAGTTTTGTTTCTTAACTCTTCTTTTTAGTACCTTGTTTTGTAGATGTCATGGCAGTTACAGGTTGCTGTTGGTTATCTTTGCTTATGGAATAAAAGCTCGTTCAGGATGAATAAGGATCTAGACCAGAGGTAGGGATTGTTAGGAAACCTTAGAAAGAAATTAACTGGAAGCAAACTTACCTTCACTTCCTCAAACAAATTCTGCAAGGCAAACAAATTCACCTTGGGCCTTGTGAAATTTTACCTAATGGCTTGTGAAAAATTTACTTCATAGTATTTATGTTGGTCAGGAGGAGAACTCAGAAGGGACAAGACGTATTTCCCAAACTGGGATTTTAACTCTGATGTGAGCCTTAACCTGTTCAACTTGATGCTTCCTCTAGGTTGTTACACTTTGCTCATAGTGAATTCAATTCACATCCCATTATTCACCTTTAGAAATCTTGTAAACATGCATGAGAGGGTGAAGGTCTTCAAGCTGAAGTTCTAGGTAGGAATTCTGAGGAGATAGTGTTTATTTCTTAAAACCCCTGGATTTAGACTCAATTTCAGTAGATGTATTTTAGTCACTGATCAGAAAATCTCAAGTCTGCACTTATATTGCCACAAGTATATTTTCTTGCCCCACTCCCTAGCCCTCTCCTTCTGAATATGGCCTCTCCCAGCTGTGGTACACCCAACAGTTCTACAAGCCTGAGCTATACACATTTGCCCTGTCAGTGGTTTCCAACGTATTCTTACACTAAATAGAGTAATCAACTTGGCAGTGACCTCCAATATATTTACAAAGGTAAAGGTTCCCCTTGACATTTAGTCCAGTTGTGTCCGACTCTAGGGCATGGTGCTTATCCCCGTTTCCAAGCCGTAGAGTCAGCATTTTGTTTTTAGACAGTTTCCATGGTCACATGGACTAGACACAGACCACCATTTACCTTCCCACCGTGGTGGTACCTTTTATCTACTCGTATTTGCTTGATTTTTAACTGCTAGGTTCGCAGGAGCGGGGACAAGCGATGGGAGCTCAGTCCATTGCGTGGATTCGATCTTACGACTGCTGGTCTTCTGACCTTGCAGCACAAAGGCTTCTGTGGTTTAACCGACAGCACCACCACATCCCTAATATATTTAACTACTTACTTTTATTCATTTATATCACCCCTCCCCCCAAAAAAGAACACAAGGTGACATATAACAATTAAAAGCATATGTATAAAATTACAATGAATTAAGACATTATTACTAGAATGGAATGAAACAACAAAAATTTTAAAACACCATTAGTTCCCAACCTTTTTGAGTTGTGACACCCTTTTAAAATAGGCAAGTAACCTATGACCCACTGGCCTGGGCCATGTTCCATGTGACCTTGGGGAGTCTATTCAATTTTCAATCTCTGCCATAGATTAGGTCTAAAACATCATAGCCAAAATATCGGGCTCATTTATTGTTGTTGTTGTTGTTGTTGCAACTGCTGCTGCTGTTTGTATTTTATTTTGGACTTCCCTTTGCATTTTGTACTACCTAATCAAATCATGAATTCTGGAGAACTCTAACGCTTCCTGAGAGCTTCAAAATACAAATACAAAGTCAAACAAAACAACTTCTGGGATAGGGAGTAAAGGAGAGAGGCTCTCTATTATCACCCTATAGCTTCTCAAACAGCTCTCCCTTTCCAATTAAGAAAGAGCTGCAGGAGGAACCGTAAAATAGCAAATGGTGAGTCTTTTCTCCACCATCTTCCCCAGCGATCCTGCTACAGGTCATTAGCATCAGTGGGGAAAGGTTAATTTATTTTAAATTCAGGGGAGGCTCTCATGGGGGTGCACACGAATCCTCAGAGATGAACATTATGTATTCCTGTGCAAAAACATTGTCTTTCTCTGTGTTTGCCTTCATTTCTACATTCGTCCCAAATGTATATAATTGCATGGTGAGAATGTGAATGGCAACATTATTTTAAAAATGACTATTTCAACATATAGTCACATGCTGAGCGCTTTTTACTGACAGCTGGCAAGAGGTACAGGGAATGTAACCAATATAACTGTGGGAAGTGATAACCGAGTCATCAGTTTGAGCCCTCCAAAATATGTTTTTTGCACTCCCGGAAGTATGATTGTTGTCCTGCTTAGTGGGTTAACTAGAGAGAGTGGATGGCCAAGGTAACCTAGCAAACCGTTCATGGGTGGTGGTTGAGAAAAGAGTCTGTGTCCGCTTAGTGTGAATGAAGTATCCCAGCAGAAAGTTTTCTTCCAGGTACTCCTTTTAAAAATCTGCTTGTAGGTTTCCCAAAACATCCTATTGGGCATCCTAAAATATACCTTTGTTTTTTGGATACTAAAGGGCTGCTTTAACAGCCTGATTTCATTGCAGAAGTACCAAAAACTTCTGCAATGAAGTGGTAACTTCTGAAAACCAAAAAGTGCAGAAAGCAGACTAGGAGAAGGAAAACTCTGACTTCAAACCCCCACTGAGGCGCCGTCATCAGCCTCCATGCCATGAGTGAGCAGGCTGGGTAGGTGGGACTTGTTAGCCTGGGAAGGCAGCCCATCTAGGAGAAGGAAAACTCTGACTTCAAACTTCCACTGCCTTGTGGCTATATCCACTGATGGAAAAAGCTTCAGGAGTTAACCTTGAGGCAAAATCCGGAGCCGGAGTCCTGGAGGCAGTTCGTGTCATTCCATCAACTCCTGCGACGTTGCTGAAACCAGTTGTATTGGCTCTTGCCTTTCCATTGGACTATTTCAGTGACATGGAGAGGGGAGATTTGCTGGTTGGGTAGCAGCCTATCCTCCATATTATTTTACCCAGGCTTCGTGCCCTGGAGAGGACACTCCAGGTTTGCGTACAGCGTCAAAACACTAGAAGCTGTTCCAAGTCCTCCATACAGAGCACGTTACCATAGTCTCTCAAGACTGAAGTATGCTTATGAATGGATGAAAATACCCTGTAAAATTTCCTACCCCATACTCATTTACTTTTTCACCAACAGTTTTGAAATTCATTATTTTCATCATTATATCCCAGTGGCTTTCTTTTTGTCTCCTCACCACATGGCCTGGAGGTGGGGCTAGGGGGTGGGACTTTCTGCTTTAAAAGAGTGTGTCCCAGGACCCTGGACCCTTTTCCCTGGGAAGCTGGGCTGAGGGTGAAGGCCAGGTATGTTTGAATGGATGTTTTGCTGAGGTTTTTTTTTCCCTGGGCTTTCTTTTTGTCTCCTCACCACATGACCTGGGGGTGGGGCCTAGGGGGTGGGACTTTCTGCTTTAAAAGAGTGTGTCCCAGAATTCTCAAATTCTATCTCTGGCCTTAATATGGCAAATGGGAAAGCCAATTAGATTTGCATAAGCCTGGGAGGCAGGAAAGTTTTAAGGGTCAGATCATACTTTCGCACTATTAAAGAGCAGGCCGGG